TACATTAATTATGTCGATTTAACGGAGGTCGTTGACAAAGCCATCCGCGATGGACTCTAGGAAGTAATGCTGAAATGAGGATGTCCCAAGCCTTTCGCAAAATGGTGCGCCAAGTACGAGAGGGGATGATGGCTCACATCATGGGCAACGGTGCAATCTCTGAAGCGTCAGTGGGGCCCAGTGGGGTGGGTCGTCGATGAATACGCGCTCGCATCCTTATTAATTTCCTGTTGTCTGTTCTGCTCATGGACGCTTACTGTAAACCGCGGCTGGGGATCGATATCGACTACCGAGCGGACAAGAATTCTTTAGTAGTTACAATCTTAGACGGTACTCGAATGCATCTACTACAACTTTCTGTGGACCGTGAACTTCTTCGTTTCTGGTTGCTCTAACTTCGAGCTGACGCGCTGTAATCCATGAAAACGGGCTAAAAATTGTCGTTTTGGAGGCTGCTAACAAATGGGATAACATGGTCCTTCTCTCATTACCGAGAGTTAGGCTGCTAGAACTCCTTGATGTTACCTCTACGGTGTTATGTATGCAAAACAGAAGGCTAGTTGGAAATAGGACGTGTACTGAGTACGATAGACAGCACAAGTGAGGAGGCTTGTGAGAACGGCCGGATATATGGCAAGGGGGACTGTCATAGGCTAATGGGTGGCCAATCAGCACAAAGAAGGTGTGAACAGGGGACCATGACCTGGGTCGTTCGCTTGTCACGCGTTTGTGGCATGATGTCTTGACGGCCCGAGCCGGATACGCTGCATCCCTCCACCCTAAAGTGGAGAGCATGAGGGGGAGGGGAGGGGAACAGTATAGGTAATAGTGGATAGTCAGACAATGTTCTAATAAGATTCGTCCTGAAAGCGTTGGACAGGTTTGCGGATTCGGGTCGACCTTCTCAGGGCGGTATTTTCTGCCTCTGCGCCGCTTTGTGCAGTCACTGGCTCCTCTGCCCCTAAGCTAGTGCTGGCCGAGGTAGAAGGAGGTGGAACATACGCCTCGGTCGGTGGCGTAGTGCTCTGTGCAGGCAGTAAGGGTTCAGTCCTCGGGATGTCAGGATCCCTATCAAAGGTTGCTGGCAGTTCGAACTTTCCGATTTCTCTACTTACTGTGTCTGTTCGGCTTCGAACTTAATCCAGATGTCGACGCACAATTCTCCCATACTCTAACTCTAATTCCACTATTTGCCCCTCGCTTGTTCGAACTACCGCCGGACACCAGTTCGTTTCGTGTTCCAGTCGCGTGTAATCACTTTCGTTAGGCGCGACGACTCGTGGTCGGGTGTTCACATCATATCGTTCTTTCATCTTCGTCTGCTTTGCAATGACTCTATCCTGCGTTGATGGGTTGAGCAGGTCGAGTCGTGTGCGCAACTGCCGCTTGAACATTAATTCTGCAGGCGAACAGATCCTCGATGCGCGGGAGAGGATAAGGGTTCAGTTTAGTTGCTGAGTTGATTGTCAGCTTGTAGTCGCCACAGATACGCACAGAACCATCGGTTTTAAGGACAGGAACTATTGGGGCTGCCCATTCCGAATATTGCACGGGCTCAATAATATCCGCTCTCTGTAGGCGATCCAGCTCTTCTTCGGCCTTCGGTGCGAGTGCATAGGGGACTGTACGAGCTTTGAAGAACCGGGGCCGGAAATCTGACTGAAACTGGAACTTAACAGGTGGACCGCGATAGTGGGTAGCAGAATCGTCACGAAATAGATCCTTATGATTTACCAAAATTGAATCCAAAGCCGGATTTACACCAATCCGATGTACATAGGATAGCACAGAAGGCACGCATTTAATCCAATTCCGTCCAAGGAGATTTGGTTGCTGGCTTCCTCTCACCACATGAACCGGCAAGTAATGAAGTTCTCCATCATGCTCGACTTCGGCTGTAAAGACCCCTCGAACCTCTACGTTCTGTCCAGTGTAACTGCGGAATGTTGAGCTGGCCGGAAGAAGGGAGGATAATTTCTGAAGGGAGGCCTCATTGATGGGAGTAACAGCTGAGCCAGTGCCGATTTCAAACTTCACGGGGTGGTGATCAACCGGAAGCGTGATGGTGTAGGGCGATTCGAGTGGCGCGTTGGCCGAAAACATTCGGAGTATCGCCTCGCCATCCCCAGCTGGATTAGGGTAGGTTGCATGCGTGTTAGTATTCGCTCGTCTTTTGGAGAAACACACTCGTTCGATGTGGCCGACTTTCTTGCAAAACTGGCATACCGTCTTCTGGTGTCTACAGTCTGACCACCGGATATGATGTTGACCACAACGGTAGCAGGATGGTAGTTGTTTTGAGGGAGCTGAGGGTCGCTGTCTAGGTGAAGACACAGCAGTGTTGACCAGGGAGACAGCCATTTCCGATTCCAAGGATGTTATCACTCCATCGTTTGACTGATTCAGCTGCTGAAGGTTTTGCCGCACGCGCTCCTGATGACTGGCAATATCACAGGCTTTCTCCCATAACAAATCCTTCTTCTCTGATAAGAGATTTTCCCGAGCTTTTTCATCGCGAAGACCGACGATCAACTGCTGAACGAGCATTGCGTGCTCGAAGTTGTCTGCCTTGATCTCTTTATAACCCACAGTGCTGGCTGGCGAGAGTCAGATTAGTAATAAAATCACTGACACATTGACTGGATTCTTGACGCATTTGACAAAACCGATAGCGACTGAGAAAGACGTTGTCTTTTCCTCCCCACGCTGACTCGAGTTTTGAGAAGGCTGTATGGAGATCTATAGCCTGTTGTAGATTGATGGCATCGAAATATCGTTGTCCCAACTCTCCGAGATTCGTCCGGGGGAGTTTCAACTTAGATGGAACGTCTAGTACAATCGTGGGTGACAAAATCGGGAGCAGTTCAATATAATCCTCAAATGTCTTCCTCCATTGCAACCACGAGTCATTTGAGGGCTTCTGGGTGTTCTTTGGCCAGAAAGGTAACGGTGTATGCAGCAATGAAGACATGTTCGTTAGGCTGCGTCGCCAATGTTATGTATGCAAAACAGAAGGGTAATCGGAAATAGGACGTTTACTGAGTACGATAGACAGCACAAGTGAGGAGGCTTGTGAGAACGGCCGGGTATATGGCAAGGGGGACTGTCATAGGCTAATGGGTAACCAATCAGCACAAAGAAGGTGTGAACAGGGGTCATGACCTTGATCGTTCTCTTGTCACGCGTTTGAGGCATGATGTCCTGACGGCCCGGGCAGCATACGGTTTATACGGCAGTCCCGCTTAGTTGGAATTCAGATCGTCCCCATTCTTGGTGTGAGAGCTTGGTTTATCGTGCAAGTACCATGTGTGTGTTGCACGCACTGTTGTGATGTTTACCTTTATCAAGGACTGGCCCCGATCTAGCCTCCGGTCTTGTCGAAACGCTCTTGACAGCGGGCGCGTGAGTGGAGAGTACGACTGATACAGCGTGAATCCACAATCATTATAAACTAATTCACGCGCAGGTTGCCGTCCCTGCTATAAACATACTGTGGGTATGCGGACGACCGACATTGTCGTCCTAATGGCTGAAGTTCTTTTTACTGCACATTTGTGGAGGCGCACATGAGCGTGCCTGACTGTCCTTCAACACGTCAGGTGCCCGGTGTGTTATTTTTTATAAATAAACTTTCTGCAGACATTTCCGAGCCTAATATGACGATATTTGACAGTCTTTCAGCGAAGATTAGCTAATCGTGTTTCGTAGGATAGTGACCACTGCCCAGATACAACTTTCGCTGCTCGCAGTTGGTACTCGAAAAAGTTCAACGGCAAAAAACGAAACGTGTATCTGGGCAGTGGTCACTATCCAACGAAACACGACTAGCTAAACTTGACCTCTTTCCTTTCAGTTACAGAAGCTATGCAGGGACCTGATACAAGCTTCCCGCATCGTGCGCAATCAGGGCTGCTGCCTCACATCTGGAGACTTTTCCGAGTTGGCGACTACGACTAACCTGAGATGCCATCCACTCAAAATGCGTGTGACTGGGGCCCGGATACACGCACAAAAGTTCTTCTTCTCCAGCAGAGTGGTTGCAGCTTGGAATGTCTTGCCTGAGGATATTGTTATGTGGGGATCTGTAGATACTTTTAAACGAGGCTATATCAACATTGGAGCGCGCGCAACAATAACGCCGGACTACGGCCACCTTGATAGCCAACGCTGATAAATTAGTGCTATGACGATGTTACTACCAACATTCAAGTAACATATGTTTATGAAATTAATTATTTTGAACCACGTCGCACACCGCTGCTCGCCTTCACCACGATGCATGCAGGCTAAAAATTTACTTATTTTCTTGTATGTTAAGTGTGCATTAACGGTCTGTTGCGTTTAATCAACAAGCCGAGTTCATGTGCCTCTAAATTCTGTTAACGCATGACATTCTGTGTTCATCTGTGCTGTTTTTGTTATTCCTTTTGTATTTCTTTAATGGTACTTCCTTTCCATTTTCTCTATCTACTTCCTCTGCATGTAACCAATAGGGATTTCAAAAGTACACACCCACTTTCCCCGAAATACACTGATATCCTGATACTGAACATTCAGTATGTTCTTAACGCAATTTAAAATTTGAAACTGCCCTGACGGGTTACAGACTTCGGTTAACATGCGACATTTTTAACCTTGACCCTCCATCAGAGTGCTTTCTGTAATGTTGACACCTGGTGTAGGATCACCTACAGAAGCTGCGGATGCGAAGAAATTACTAGACGGTCGACTGAGGGTGTAGGCAATTAATGTCGATATAGAGACTAGTATTCACAATTCCATGCTCCATTTACCTTCATGTTAAGTGAAGTAGCGCTTGTTCTGTTCTTCATTTAATTCCGAAACTCTCGGAAAGGTACTGCATAAATCAAGGAACATAACGTTTTTCAAAAGTCCTAATCCTTGATCCTCGAACCTTCCGTGAACTTTTAATTTCCACTTAACCTTAAAAACACCAATGAAAATTAGAGTTTCTGAAGGGCTGGGCTGGACACGGTGAAATGTTTGAGGACTTTGGAGCTTACTTATTTTTTGGACTCGCAATTGTGCCAATAACGGCCTACTTCAACCAATTCCTGTTTTTTATTTTCGCATTTTATGTGAGGTAGGTTTCTCTCTGCAGAGTGGTCGTTGTATACGTCCAATAGCTTTTAAAATCTTAATACGTTTGCCCATGGGCATGCGTGCGTGCTATATTTTCCAAAAAACTGCGACGTCATTCTCTTTTTATACCGTCTGTTCGATACACGTTTTTCAGATCACATGGTATTTCCAAGGGTCTCTTTTAAAATTGCGCAGACGTACATTTAAATGTACGAGAATTTGTTCGATCTCGTCACCGACACCAATAGCATTGTAGTGGTCTCTGTCTATCACCTCCCAATCAGCTCAGGTTTCCTGACTGTGTGCGACTAGTGATCTGATTGACTGGCTGAGCACTGCGTGCTCCTATCACGCGAAGGGACTGTTGAGCGGATTGCGTCCGTAGTGAATACTGCAGTAGTCATGCAATGAATTCCAAAACTAGCCGTAAACTAACCATGCGGGTTAGCTCTGAGCTAGTGTGATACAATCAGTGAACACTTGAACTTTCATGTTGTAATGTCCGCGAAGCGTGGCCAGTCTGTGACCAAGGAACTTCCAGACTTGAATTAATGTGAGAATTAGCCGCGTTAACCGCACAAGTGCGAAGTCCCCATGACTAAGACATCGGGACGCTCTTCAAAGTGACACTGGTTGTTTAAACTCCCATGTCTTGCCTCTGCGTCGGCCACCCACCCATGCGGACCTATGGGGAATGAGCTAGAATATTGTTAAAATTAAATCCGTCGAGGTCTTAGGGCCCATGGTACTGAACTTAGTTGCTGGATTTAGATTCCGTTCATCTCACGAATATGGGCCGTTTTCACCTACGAATTCTCTCTTTTGTGTTGTGGCCTCCTCTCTAGATTCTTTCCCGGGGCCAGTTCCACATTGGCGAACCCTTCGTCTTCCCGTTACTTATGTATTTATTGTATTTATATTTGAGTGTTTAAACGCTGCTGGAATGTCGAGTCACCACGTCTGCCATCAGACAAAGTTCTCATTATCTTTTGACATTTTGTTGTTTAATTTCCACACTTGCCAGCGGCACTCTCTGTGTATGCGTTTCCAAATATCCATTACCCTTGGGTCTTTTACCACCTGTCGCACTGCAGCTTGAGGGGGATTAGTAATTGAGGCTATCCTGCAAATTCTAGGCAACCCTTAAAATGAGACCGTCGTCTGAAGGATGAAAGAGTGCCTTATTCTTTAGAAGGCACTTCAGGTTGCATGTAATGCCTCTCGGTACTTAAGCCATTATTGGCCTGTTGCCCTACCTATTTCCTTAACGCAAGTAACCAACTAACTATGACTATTCAATCAATATAAAGATCCATTGCATTGGTATTTGCTTGCTGACCGCACATTAGATCGCTGTGTGCATTTGCGATTAGTTCATAATACATTTGGTATTCGCCATTCGAACAATCAGGTGTTTCAGGCTACATGGTGCCAAAATAAATAATTTGAGCTACTAAGTAGACGAAGGTGGAGCACTCGCAGCAATGTTTCCTCCTACAACCGCATTGCCTACTTGTACTTTCTTTTCTACCAGACCCGCCCCCTTCTAATCTTCACAAGCAAACAAAATACCGACCAACCGGCAGGCCCACATTTGCTAGGCAAAATGCGAGCTGATTTGGGCTTGGGCTAATTGGGTCTCTTGTTCATTTAGCTGTTTGTGTTAGCCTTCCGTCAGAGATCTTTCAGGAGTCGCATTTTGGTTGTATATTCACGTTCACGTGGCGGCTATTTTTGAGTCTTAAAGTTCGAACTGGTCACATGTTTTCTGTTTCGTCGTCTGTTTCCGCTTGCACATTCAGTTCTGTGGATTGGAAACTGAGTTTTTTTCCGACACCTTATTAATTGAGAGTCCTAAAGATGTCAGTAATGTCTTGGATCTCCCAAACTCCACGGTGTCAGGGTCTTGTATGCTAGACCAAAACGTTATTTTGTTTTAGCCAAATGGCTTACTCGCTGTTTAGTCATTAATTTTACATAACATACATGTTTGAGCTGTTGCATGGCATGCCTTACCGCAAGAACCTTCTGTTGCCTGTTTCATGAGTACTTTTATCTACTTAACCCGGCAAATCTAAAATGCAGGCTTTTCGATAGTCCCCCTAATTTTCTGCGTCATCTCTCTTCCCGTCCGGACGTCTCACGCAGGAGATGTCTTCGTGTCTATGCTACCTTGTCACCTGAACTTTTAAAGACTTGTCCTCCCCCGTTTAGTATTCCTGTGGTTTAACTATGTAGCTTTTTGTTCTCTAGCATTTGTTTCATCAGTCGTCGAGAGTAGAAGCCAGTTTTGATGTTTTCATTATCTGACTTGCTTGTCTCACAGTCTCTCCTTCCCGAACTGTTATAAAATTGATGTTCCCACGCAAATATTATCTGTCGCTTTTCTTGATTTGCTTGTTTTGCTTTTGCAATCCTTAAGGCTATCTATTGCTGGGTTCATCAAGAATTTTTTGTTTTCAGTTCTACCAAGTTTTACAGGAGACCCAGCCATCCCCTGCAACATTTCCCTGGCGTAACTATTGTTAAGCCACTCATGGGCCTCGATCCCCTTCTCCGTGAAAATCTTGTCAGTCATATGGAACTTAATTATCCGAACGTGAGTCAATGTTTGACCTCCATTTCCGCTTCGATTGATAGACCACCCCCTCCGTGGTTGTAAAAATGGTCGTTTACGGACCAACGACTTATAGCCGCGAATGATACAATTTATTCGGAGCTCTGGAATTATTTTGTTTTTTTCAGAAATCCCAATATTGTGTAGCATATTACATGAGCTTATTTAAGGTTGGCCATGGGCTCAGAATATAGCAGGTTTTTAACTGCCAGCTATGACCCTTGATAAAACCAAGTCTGCACTCAAAAGATGCAGTAAAACGTGTGTGTAAAACGGCCCGCATGGGGCCGGTCTTATTGAATAACAAGCCAAATATGGTGGATCTACTAGTCAGCGACGAAGTGAAATTTATTTGCTTCCGGCGCTGTGATCCGGATGAGCACGCTCTTTGAAAGCTGGTATTCGTTTGAATCGAACGTATCCATGCGTTCGCAGTGTGCTTAGCGGACCCCTTTTAAGGTAGCGACCATTATCCTGTTTGTTCCTTTTTGGTGCATTCAACCTAGAAAATTGGCTAATTAATTCTTTCCATCTAAATAGTTCGAGATCGTCTTCTGTGTAGAATCGCCCGATGACCCGGCACTTGACCTGGTTCAGTCACTCCTCCGAGAATACCCCAACGTCGATGCCCGTCTCATTGTCGGTAAGTCTCATCCGCCCCCTCGACCACTCAGTCTGGTAGCTTTCACAGAAGGCCAACCTTTGAGTGCCAATAAAGGATTATATTTTATCATTAGCCGAGATTTCGGTCTCTGTCTTTGCGGGTGATGTTCTAGTAACAATATCCTGCTGGAATAATCGAAATCTCATGCTTCGATGGCAACTTTAAGATAGTTAGTTGAAACTGTGTGCGAACACAGTGACTCGCCTTTTTTCTAGCCGACGGTCTGGTATCTCTACTTGTATCCCAAATAATCAGCGGCAATCGACGCTCTCCCTCTAACACAGCCAACCCATTTGGATTTTCGAGTTGTCCTTTACCGCTGATACGTGGCTTCTTTGTGTGCGCATAGTCAAACAGCTGCATGCACTGGTGACGGTGATGGCGGTGGCGGTCATTCGACTCTTAACGCGTGCCAAAAAGAGCACTCTTATGAGCACTCATACCCCTCCCGTTCCGCTGCCGACAGTTATAAACGTTGGGCAGCTGCCAGTAAATGAGCTCTGACCATTTGCTGTTGCCATTGTGGAAAACTCGCACACGCTGCCTCTTTTCTGCTAGCCAATAGTTTTTTATCCTGATGACCTGCAAAGGTTTCTTTCTGTTCGACTCTTCTCCGTGTAATTTATTCCAAAAAACAAACCGCCAGCTGCGGTTGTTTTTAAGTGCTACCTCAGCCTGAAAATATAGTTCTATTGGTGATTGCGCTCCGTGGTGGAGTATTGAGACCAAAAATTCAAACAAATAGCAGGAATACTTTGGCTACTTCGAACTTTTTTTCCAATTCTTGGTAATCTACAGTGTTTCCCGTTTTCAGGAGGAAGTGGAAATATTGTCAACCCGATGGTTAATAATCTTCTCCCGGGCTATGAATCAGCGAAGTACGACTTGATCTGGATTAGCACAAGCCGGATTAGAGGTTGGTGGGTCTGCTATTCGCTTTTTCATTTTCTTCAACAAGGCCCCCATCATTTCATCGTTTATATGCTTGTTTTAGTCAGTAAGGAGGTCTCCGTGAGTTAGCGCTCTGAATCCTCGTTGAAAACGCCACCACTACTCTTTTTTACGTTTTGTTTATTTCTTGTTTGGCCCAGCTGCATGTATCAATATACGACAACTGAAGTAATGTTCACATTTGTTGGTGCAGTTTTCGTGTTATCTTCGTTAAAAATCAATCTATCCCTTCCACCTGCTTTTATGTGGTACTTATTTAGCTCTCGCAGATTACGATAACATTTCTCATCCCTTCGCCCCAACTCCGATATCTTAAATAGTCATTGGTGCGCAAACGGTTCATATTAGCCAAGTTGGGATTCTCCGACTCGCCTCTCCACCGCTCGATGTAACGTACTTTGTCGAATTGTTTGAATTGTGCGTGTACTAGGCCTTGCCCACATTTATATCGTCCACTGAGCCGGTTTTCGACACGCAGACTAAAAACGGCCACCTCCTCGCATTACGGAATCGCAGATAGTGGAGACTGGGTGTTTGTCTTCTGGAAAATGCAAATTTTGCCGTTGTGCATCGTTAAGCAGCCTTTCCACCTCGCGTCAAAATCTGCTATATATACCAGACAGAGAGCGCACGCATGCTTAAAACAAGCCTTTTTATTCCGCGTCTATAAATCCCTCTGTCCTTATTTCAAGTGTAACCACCCTTTACTGTATCAGCTAATCGACTTAAAACCGTGTATTAGGATTGATCTCTCCTCCTCTGTTGACTGAATATGTCAGTAACCCACGCATTCCTTCGGACCCGCGTTTATTAAACTACGACCCGCTTATGTATGACTGGTTTCACGCCCACCCATAAATGCACTAGAGCTGTCGATGCGATAGCATGGTATTCAACCCCAGTTAGATTGCAGAACGAAAATCGACCCCTCACTCCACCCTGCACTGCCGACCAGCGAGATTTGCACCTGGTTAAAGAGTCTCACTTTATCCGTTTCGCGTAATTTCTGAGCTAAGTTAGCTGCTCATCTTCTGTTGCCTTGGTATGGTTGCCAAATTTAAATGTTAATGACTTGAGGGGATCTCCCCATTGGGTCTTGTACGCCTAAGTTCTCATCTAATTCACTTTCGGCGACTGAACTTCGCGCACTTTACATCTAGGTGCTTTGAAGGGGAGGGATGTACACTGTTATCTGAATCTTTCAGTAAGATTATTTTTCAACCCAACTGATAAAATTTTGTTGAAACATCTGCAGGCTTTTTTCGCATCGCAGTCATCACGACATTAGAATACCTGCCCTTGTTAAATTTCAGTGTGTGTAAGAAGGGTGCCATTCGACTTTTGCGTTTTGGGGTCGCACGAGGCCTTAAAGATCGCGCCCTTTTCCTTTTCTTTTTTCTAGTCCACACACAAATAATGGAGGATCTTGTGCGGAAGTCAAAGGACCCTTCTGTAGCGCTTGTTCATCAACTTCCGTTTTACAATGACCAGCGCGGCTTCACGAACGCGTTGGAGAAGGTGGGCCTTCTTTTAATTGATTTTCTTCTGGGATAAAAAGGCTACACTGACAGCCAATGCGTTCGCATCAGCTGTCGTACAGCCAGGGCGGATCGGTGGGCCTATGACCCCATAGCTCCACAGGTAGAACGTTAAACCCAATAACCACTGTATCTGACTTCAACTCTCAGATCTTCCCAATCTGAGGCTGGTGATAGACAATAAGCCAGGAACGGTTGTTCCGGACTCGCTTGTCCTTGTCGGTGATGATTCTCAAAACTGCTAATATAGGTTGGGTAGGGTGTTCATGTATGTTTTTTGGGGGAAATTCTCTGTAAATACCGCGTCCTTAAACGAACGACTGTAGCAAGCCATGCAGTACTGTGTAACTGTGATAGGCTTAGTTTGCGGACACTGGCCCATTTTGACGAGGAGCCCAAACAGGTCCTAAAACCCCGTCTGTTCCTCTTTAACTTCCCCAAATTTTATTCAAAGTCAGGCAGAATCACCTCTCTGCTTATTTCCTGGGACACATATATGTATTTTCGAGCGCACAGATTGAGGCTGTGTAACACAAGGCCGAAGAATGGTACTTGGAAGTCGACATTGGGTGGGGACGAGATTCACACTGAAAACCTCATCATGCCACCCGCTGTAGGGATGATTACCAGAGGACAGTGGTTCTGTTCCACCTCCACGGTTGGGTTAACAGTTGCCAGAGTTTCTGCCAGTCGAACCACTTGTTACATTATGACCACTTTCGTTTGTCTGGCAAATCACTGTTTCAGCCTCTTAATTGGTTTGGCGGCTAACTGGAGGGCATATTTGTAATAAAGCTTGCGCAAAACCGTAAGTCGCCTTTTCATCGTGCATGGGGATATTTTTGTCTTGCCGAGAAAGTTAGGTCATGCATGAAATTCCAGCTCACGTGTTTCCTCCTTGCTCTGTCAAAAGGAAGATGAGTAAAGGTCGAAACTCAGCTCCACCGTTTTGCTTTCCTGAAACTTGTTGGCTCATGTGGGAGACCGCCATCAAGGATAATTACTTCTTACTTGGCCCCCAGACTCCGTTGCTCCTTTACCGACTGGCGATTAATTAGTCTCAAGGCTGGCAAGTTGGTGCTAATGGCACGCACGCCAACTTTACACTTGGCGCTGGACTTTTTTGGCGGCCCTTTAGCATTTGTAACGTCACACTGTTAGAAGGAACAAATCGACTCAAAGACACAAGCAGCAGGTCTTTCTCTGTTGGCATCTGTCCTCTTCCAGCCGCCCGATTTGGACTTGCACCACGCCGGAAGCGTTACACATCTATTCGCACTGCTGTCGACTGTCTCGCACCAATTCACGTCTGATGCGCTCTTGCACTTTGCTCTCATTGTCTGCACGGTGACATTTGCGTGCTCATCTCTCACCTAACCGGCGTGTGACTTCACCAACCTCTGGTCGCAGACACGAAAACGTTCCCGTGTACGTGCGTGCGTGCGTGCGTGCGTGCGGTGTGTGCAATTCAACTCAACCATCGGTTTGTACTGACCCGAGCGCCCTGCTGTTGTTTGCTCTGTCGTGTGAACTCACACAGTCACTATCGCCCAGCCATATCCATTTTTAGCGGCAATCAAAGTTCTCCAGAGGCCGTCTGCCCATCGGCTCTAAGTCCTTTCACGACGCCTAAAGATCAGTCCTAGATAAATTACTCGGTAAGAAACCATACCGGTTGAAAATCCGTCCCGGAATTTCACCTCAGCTGCTACGACTGCGCTGCTGCATAAAGCGTTGTGTGCAACGGCCAACTCATTACCACAGATCCGGCCAGTAGCTCAGGTTGCTTTGGATGCGATGTCTAATCCACCTTTGTTGGCTTCCAAATGCTGTGTAATAAATAGTTCTCTGTGTTTATTCTGTGAGTTGGGTAATTTTTATGTCTTTTTGATCTTTACGCTTCAGGTTTCGGTTAATGTTTTATGCGTTTCGGTGCGTACGGTATTTGCAGGAGTAACACCTTGCACCAATTGGGGTCTTTCATCTCGATTGCCTTAAGCTTCTCTCTTGGTTATCGGTTTTGTCCTATTAGTAGAGTCCCCTGGAGGCGAAGGTAGACAGCTTACCGTTCCTACGTTTTTCGTAGGCTGCCAGCTTGGCACGCCACGGAAGGTTGTTCCGAACATTCACGTGAAGAGTAGGCATGAGGGGAGAAAAGCTAACGCTAATTTCTGCCGTACCTAAAGTTTCAGTCGACTGCAAACTGCAGACACCCAAATAGTTAGCATTTATGCAATGCAATTTGAAGTGGCGTGCCTAAGGTGGCCTCAGTGCTTTCGAGTATCCTTAATGACGCTTTAGTTCATTTTTCCCTTTTACGCAGAGATCCTGGTCCCTGGTGGTTTCTCTACGTTGATTTGTCTCCCCCCACCCCCATCCCCCCCCCTCCTATCGATCCTTCAGGTCTGCTTCGCCTGTTCTCTCGGTAGGAGTTCAATATCACTCAACTTCATGGGTGTCCTCTGTTTCACCGGCATGTCCTACCTCGTGAAAAAATCCATCCTGGACAAGTACGGTGGTTACGCGTACTTTGGGAAATATCTGGCCGAGGACTTTTTCTTGTCGAAAGAACTACACAAAAAGTAAGTGTACATATGTGTCTTCTACCTAGCCTCAGGGCTAAGTGCAGCTCCATGTACGGGCGGGGTATGCACGTTCCTCCCACTCTTTTACATATGTTTCCATCTCGACAAAAGCACTAGACTGGCAGGGGAGGGGGGCATAATAAACAGATATTCCAGAAGAAACAACAAGATTACTTCATCGAAGAAAACCAAGTTATTTACCATCAGAAAGGCAGAAGGAAAAAAGTTAACTCCAAGTTCGCACACTGAGTTGTGAGGAAATTAAAAAGCTTAGCATCGAAAATTGAAGTATGTGCCAGTAAGTATCTGGCCACCGCTGGAGAATCCACTGATGTGCCTAACCCCTTTCAGCTGCATTACGCGGCAGCACAAAATTGATGAAACGCGTGTCTGGGCCTTTAGCTGGAACTTATGACAGTAACTCACCCCACTCCACAGTGTTCCCTTATTCTCTTTGAGCTGTCGGGATTGTCGTCCAAATCTTCTGTTATAACTTCTTTCATAATGGAATTCTATGGACTCATGCGGCGCTTTCTTAAATACAAAGATACCTTGAAGAATATGTCCTTGGCGAAAATAGGAAAAAACTGCCCTTCGTTTAGTTTTCTCCCGGCAGAATTTACTCCAAATGGATGGAAAATCCCACTTTTTACGCCTTATGACCAGACGATTTGGATTGAAACATTATGACTGCAATCTAGAGGGAAAAAATTCATCATACGTTCTCATCAGATGTGCTGTCGACTACCTATTTTACTGCCTGTTTTTACTTACTCGCCAGGTCTCCCAAACGACCTGAGTCACTGTTGCGCTATACCGAAACGGGCCCATATTTACCCGTACATATGTTAGTGGGTCCGCGCTGAACCTGTACGAGTCTTAAACTACTGCCGCGAATGTGTGTGGAGTATATTAGACAGAGGCTTACGCCATATCATCCAGTCTGCTCACTAATCGACCAACAGACTTGGACACATAACTGGTGCATGCAAGAGACAAGGGGTAGGTCAGCATTGAGGCACTACTGCTTGTGATAATTTAATGTATTCCTCACCGCAATAAGTCCGGCACCCTTGAAAGTATCACGGGACACCGAAAGTCGTCACTTCGAAGGTTGTCAACTGAAAGAATAAGTCGGTCCTACCTCGGACCGAAGATCAGGCCACAACGGCTTCCTCTCAGTCTGGCCTTTATTGCAACCCCTTGCTGAGAGCTCTGAGACCCCCTATTCTACGACCGATTTATGTGTAGGCAGGGGTTAGCAGGTGTGTGGCGTGCGTAGACATGGCCTAAGTTCCGTCATTCACTGCGACTGCACCCATCTCTGGTCGTCCTAACTTAGTCTTTCCGCAGGGACGCGGTGGGCATGGAGGACCGGGTTTGCCTCAATATAATATTTCACGCCCAAGTCATCACTGAGCCCTCGGAGTAGTGGCGAATCTCCTCGACTGCGCTAGTCACAACATCCAAAAGTGATGAATATTTGTGGTTATGGCCCGGCCTTTTGTCCCAATCATAGGATCCCCCTCAGTTTGCCGTCATTCGCTACCACAACCCCGCCCTTGAGATTTATTATTTCTTTTAGGTTGTAGTGGTATATTGGTCATCCATCGGCATCATTGCGGTGACTTTCCGTTTTCTAAATTTTTTTAATGCAGTCTTTCCCCTGGTGTTTGAGTCTGTGGCTGCTAAAAGGAAGTTTTATTGTCCCTATCATTTCCCTTTGGGTAAACTGTCTTTCATAGCCCTTGCAATACTTTCCTTTGTCTATCGTCTAAGCACTATTATCTGTTCTGCGAAAAGCTACACGTACTCATCTTGTGAAAGTCAGGTAGGAGAACGGTGCTTTTCAGTATGTCATCGTCACTGTCGATATAGGCGAAAATGGCAACTCCGGGAAGCGTCTGAAAAGAGGCAGGCACAATCGCGTGAATTGACATTTTATTCGCCCGACGTTTCGGGTTCACACTCCAACCCATTACCAGATAAGGGCAATAGATGCACAAGGTTTGCAATATTTGCAGAATTCAATCGCAATGCCGCCGAATACCTATCAAAATTAGCAGATCCCTTGTTCATCGCAGACGGTTGTACTGCATGCAATAATAGCTTGATATCCCGAATTCGAGTCTGTTATCGCTGCAATTTTACCACTCGGATAGGTTATTGACGTGATAATTACTCGCCAGTTTTGCTCACGGACGCCGGCATTGAAAACAGTGTCACAGCATTGAGTACGAAGGAGAGAGGTCACTGCGTTTGTTAACAGGCTGAGAACCGGACAGCCATGACCAACACAGCTCGCGGCTCGCGCGGGTGTGACTAGAATTTCGGCCTCGCCGAACTTGAAGATGTCAAAAATGCCCATTGAATAAGTGTTCCTGGTAGTCATCTGGTAGATCCTAGACTTATTGCTTGAGCTGTCAACTTTCTCTATCAGAATTGGTGAATTTCACCCGTTTCAGTAGGTTGGGTGGGTAACTTAGTTCAATTGGGGTTAAACTAAAGTCTCTAGGTTGGGGCCTCGTAGCCCAGGTGACCAGGCGTTAACTGCGCTGAAGCCTTGTTCGTGTTGTCGTGGCTTCGAATCCCACCGAGGCCGTCGAATTTTTATTAATAAGCTCAGGAGAATGCTGAATAAAGGTAACAAAGTCCTGCACTGGCGACACGACGAGAATAAGACATGTTAACGATGGAATGCTGACGGCCTACCAGCTTGTGGTCAACATCATAGGTCATACTCTGCCCGGAGATAAGTGCCTCTGGCTCCACCGCTAAGGTAGCGGTTTGATGTTGACATCTGTTTTAAAGGTTTGATATGAACGTAGACGAGTAGGTGGGATGCTTATGGCCTACGGGTCGCGCTAAAATTGAGATGGAGGGAGAGGAGAGAAGAATTCAAAAACCACACATAGAGCATAAGAAAGATGGTAGAAAACGTACTGCGACACAAGCAGATCGCCGCATATGCCTGAAGAATGGAATTAGTAGCTCCCATAACCACTCCTGACAATGGACAATCTTCTCGTGCTGTCACATATGTTTACAGAATTGAAGGTCTCTAGGACAAAGCAGACCTTTATCTGAAAGATGTTTGAGGTTAGTCGCCGAGTTCTTCTAACTTGTGCTTAAAGCGTGGCAAAAGAAAATTTCAAATTATGCTTAGAAAAAGCACTGCTATCTGATTCTGTTCGCACCAATAGTCATTCATTGAATACTTTCCACATATTTTTCGACGCCCTCCTGCCCCTTTAGTCCTTGAGTATCCTCTCTAGTCGAAAATAAATATCAGAATTCTGGTTAACACTTCATGGGATAGGCCTGTTGCCGTATCTTCTTTCCTTGAGCTTCTCAATAATTTCGGGGACTTAATAGGCCGTTCAGAAGATATCGATTTCCTGGAAAACTAAATTTACTTACTAACACAGCAGAGATCTGACTAATTTCCTCGTATGTCACCCTAATTGAAAACGCATTCCAGAATTTCGGCTAACATTTCATGCGATTGGTCACTGACTGGTCACCTACCGCTGTAACTCCCCGCCCCTCAGATTTGCGCTTGTCTGTGTACTTTCTGCCTACCACAGCGCATTGCACTGTTCCTAAAGGCATCTTAAGTGTTTAACGGTCCCTGTACTCACTTGGTGGTCGATCTTAAGAACCCCCCACTGAAAGTTCAGGGGTTTCTGGCCAAAGATGTGAAATTTGCTAACCAAAATGGTATGCAGGCTTATGCTTGCATATGGTCCGCCAGTGGGTTGGTACAAAGAAGGAGTAGTGTGGCGCACCGCTCCTGGTCACTCCAATTTCTTGAATCTAGGCTAAGGCTGCCCCTTCCCCTGAGGGTGCCCACCTCAGAATTCAACACTGTTGTCTGACACGGCGGTAACTCCGGGCTTACCGCAGTCCGCCTGATCGTGCGGGATGCGCGTCAGACAGGACCCAGCACCCAAAGAAACTCGCTGACTAGTGTTCTCCCCTCCTTGTCTTGCCCTGAGCGACCTGTGTGCCTAGTGGTCAGTCTTTGTCATATCCAGTGAGGACGTCGGAGACAACCCCCCTTTGTCTGCTGTTAACAGTTTGGCCTACCCCTAGACTGCCTTTTTCTATCGCCATTTATCCCCCTTCTGTCAGCCTGCTTCCATTGCCGACTAAATAACCGCCAGGCGAAGCTGAGTTGGGTTTTTTTTGCGCGGGTCTCGATTCCCACTCGACCTTGCCGTCCCCGCCGCTCTATTAAATCTTGAAGGCCAAATCATATGTTAGTCCCTTGACTCCAACTATCACTGCAGTGTCAGGTGTATTAGGGGCATCCGCAACTCCGGATACATAGAGATACCAAGTTATCACCGTGGCAACCATCACCCGATGAAATAAGGTAGAATAGTTGTTATTAAAATCAACTGTACCCATACACTCTTTTGAATCCGATCTAAGTACATTATGCTTAAGCTAGTGGCCGTCACTCCTCAGGCAGACGTAAAACGGTTATTTTTATTCATATTTGTGGCGACGCAGGAATTTGGATCATTTCGCTGCATATGCCATACGGCTTAACAAGGAATTGTGCAGTGTCATACTATTCTTATTGACTAGATTGTTCGTCGAGCTTGGATTAAAGGCCGATCGTCTGGAGATCTGAAAGTGGGCCACTTTGGTTTTATTGAAGAACTGGCGTGGGCAGCTGCTTCCGCCACGCATTTTTTTCAGAATTCTCTTTCAGTATTAAAAATCCAGCCGTTCGCACTTAGTAAACATGGGGCTGGCTTTCGTACGCAATAGGTACTCTACTGTAAGTTATTTTCTGGTCCCGCTTCGATCTAGCTAAGAGCAGCTTTTTCATGACTCCGTCTGTTTAATTGGCTGTTTCCTTACTAACTTTTTTTTATCTCCCAGAGCTCTGGATATTAATTAGAACAGAATGAATGACTTCACAAAAACACTCTAATTTTCCTTTCTCTACTCCTACAGCTCATCTGTAGGTCCCTTATAAATTTAAATTACCCATTGAGTGCATGCGAGCGCTAGTCGTAACTACTAGCAACAGTCTTTTTACACGGCAGACCATCGTATCCTTAATGGGGGCCTTTATTTTCTGCAAAAACGGACACACCCAGTCCACTCGCCGAAATTTCGTCTCGTCAGCCTTCATGGATTGGCTATTTTGTGTACTTTTCACAATGCAGCATCGTTTACAGCGCTTTATAAAAGCAGTAGAGGCATGGCCTGCTCGATTTGCATCTTCGAATTTTCCTGTTTTTATATTTTGTTTGATTCCTGATAAGTTCGCGTAAGCATCTCGGACCCTGAAAGTTCGTCAGTCGCATAAACTTTTTTGTCCCGGCGTTCTATGTAGCATGCATTTTAACTTGACTTAATCTTGTTTTTCTCCTAAACAGCGGCTACAAGATAGTCATGTCTGACTTTCCAGCGCAACAGAACGTCGCCGGATCTAGTCTTTCGAGCTACGTGGCGCGCATGGTGCGATGGTTGCGGCTGCGACTAAATATGCTCCCTATTGTAGCGGCAGTCTTTGAGCCAATGATCGAGTGCCTTAACCTCGGTGTTCTCATCTCACTCTCCCTGAACTACCTCTTTGGCTTCCGCATCACACAAACCTTCTTTCTGCACGTTTGCGTCTGGATCCTCCTGGACTATATTCTGCTGCGGCTTGTCCAGGTATGTACACCCAAACGACTCCTGTAGGCCCAAACCTAGAGCCTGCTTTGGGGTGGGAGGGCTTTCATTCTGGAGGGCAAAAAAGCTTTGCCGACCTGCTTGGTCTTTTGTCTTTAGGTGGTTAGTGGAGGCTTGTGCTGTGGCTAAGTAATTCCGTCACTTACAGCAGAGTTGTCACTGAAGGAAGGTTTTATTTGCGTAAGTAAACTTGGAAGAAAAGGCACAAGAAAAGGAATGCAATTACCCTGAGAACTGTCAAAATAATCGCGAAAATGACTGGTGGGTCATAAACAGGTTTACCGCAGTCATATTAACGCTCCGGCTCTCTTTTTTGCCTTTTGACCAATGATCCTGCAGCGCATAAGGAGGGGGGGGGGCGACTGTGACCGGGTTCGCTACCTAACTCGACTCCCCTGATGTCCGTCATTTGGGCATGCTACTCCCAGCGTAACCTGAAAACCAGGGCGCTCTTTAGTTGTTTTTTATCCTCGAAATTGCGACGTCTTCCGATGCTTCTACCGCTTGGACGCTAGTGGCAGCTTTGATAACTGTATTTCACTTTTTTACACTTCAGGTCCCTCTCCATTCCCGATAGTATGGGTTGGTAGTAAACAAAGCCCAGCTAGAGTCAGCGCGTGAACCAGAGTTTGGTGCTTTGGAAGCCGTTGTCTCTCCAAAGTCGAATGTGGTATGCTTCATCACTTCGACTAATTACTTGTTGACGAAAAGAGGAGTTACCATAGGCCTTTTCCCCATAGCAAACTTCCATAGCATTGTCTTCTGTTTGGGATTTCCGCAGGCTTTAGGCTCTTCCCGCAATCCAGAAGACCAATCTCTGCTTCAGTTCCGACTCCTTGTTATCAGTTTTACGGTATGCATAAACGGGACTCTTGCTAGTCATGCAATTACGGCAAACCTGAGAAGCATGTGGCAACTAAAAGCACTGGGCGTACCTCAGTCCCCGCACCTTGAGTGAGATACGCCTGACTCTTGCCAGGGTTCCGTTGTAAGGGGGCTTTTTTTACATTTCCGCGGCATCTAGTGTCGGCGACCGATGTGTTGGCAACAACTCAGGCGCACGTAATTGCAATCCTTAGCGCCACTGATCTCCAGTGCATAAACGAGGCTTTTGCCTAATCATCCAGAGTGGTCTCAATGTCATCTCCCGTCGAATTTGGTGACACCGCCGTGATAGAGGTGGGGGCATTCCACCGAGCCGGAAATCCTAATGTTACCCGAGTCCTGGACCGGCAAACGCGCCTTGAAGGGAAGGGGAGGGGCAAATGACGCTAATTCTGCATCATGTCAATGCTTGGACGGTGTAAGAATTCTCACATTCTGGCCTGTGGCACACAGTTCTTACAGAAAAGTCAGTATAATGCGATCTAGGATCCCAAGTTCTTAACCGAGCCTTTTAATTGCAATCGAACCCGCCAGATGGCGTGTATTTTTTAGCATCTTAGTATCGCCTTGTTTTTCCGCCCGCACAGGGTTCGTTTTTTTGACCCCCAACCCTCCAAACCCCTGTAGTGCTGTCAATGCTGATCTGGGGCTGCTTATTCGCCAGACATAGAAGTGCTTTTGATATGAAGTTGGCCTCAACTGGGTGCTGTCGCACTGGCTGCTACCTGTGGACGCCCAAATAGTCATCGGCTAGGCTGGCAGACAGGACCCGTCCTCCCGTGGTTCCTGTTTTCCAGGGATATCGGTTCGACTGTGCCAAATCAACTGACGTTTGCTTTGCTTTAAATCAGGTCAAATTCAGAGCTCTGTTGTCTGCTTGCATGCATGCGCCTCCGCCCTTATTCTGAGGCCCAGGCCTGTGCTGACTGGCTGCATTATGTGCATGGGATTGTGACAAATGTTTTGACTGTTCATTTGAGGGAGAACCTTGAATGACTATAGAGAGTTTAAAAAATCGCACGAAAAAACTGCATTTTATCTCGCAGAACCTCTCATAGAAGCAGTCTTCTGCCGTGTAGGAATAAAGATTGCGAAAGAGCCCCGGATCCAACCAGGGCAAACGAATGACCAGTTATTGCTTAATTCGCATGAGTGCGCGTTTTCGACTTCTCCGGTTAGATTAAATACGAGAACTTGTTCAGACACATTGGCTTATGTCACGAAACTGGGATTCAGTTGTCCAGGCATCATGCTTCGAAGCTTTCTAAAACTGTCCATCTTTCGACGTACGCACGAAGGCTGTGAGTAAATAAACCTGTATCATTTTGGCAAGGTTGTAGCACAGCGTTGGATGCCGCTCACAGGGCCATTCGGTCGCTTCGGGTGTTCGGACTCTTCCAGATAATACTGCTCTGTCCTAACATTGACCTGCTGTTTCACCCATCCAGCGGGCCTCG